TTAAGTGTAGTACAGAGAAATTTGTTTGCCTGAACCATTTGAGAGGAAGTGACGACTCTAATGCTCTTATTACCTCTGAATATTTTAGTGTGTATTTCTCAAAAACAAGGACATCTTCCTGCACAACCACAATGAAATAATCAGAATCAGGATATTAATGCTGCTGCAGTACTACCATTTAATACGCAGGCCACTTTCAAGTGTTGCCAGTTGTCTCAATAATAAGCATTTCAGAATTATGTGTTGCATTTAGTTTTCATGTCTCTTTAGTCTTCATTAGGCTGGAACAGTATCTCAGTCTTTGCTTGTCTTTAATTACCTTGATAATTTTGAATATTCCAGACCACTAATTTTGTAGAATGTCCCTCAATTTGGATTTGTTTGATGTTTTTTCATGACTAAACTCAGGTTATGCATCTTGGGCAGGAATTTTTCTCATTGCGTCCTGTCAGGTGGCATATGATTTTGATTTGTCCTGTTATTGATGAAGTTCACCTCCATCATTTGGTTCTGATGCTGTCTGTCAGGTTTCTGAACTGTAAAATTACTCTTTTTCCCTTTGTCATATTTTGTGTGCAGGTACTTCGAGACTATGTAAAAATCCCATTCTTGTCAAAATTTCAGTGTATTCATTTATATCTGTGTTAACTCATAGTTTCCTATTTTATTCAGTGTGGTATAATCCATTTCTGTTATTTATCTCAATGCTCAAATTGCCCTCAGTTCAGCCAGTAGAAGTCCCTTCATGCTGGCTTAAGTGTCCTTTTGGCGTTCTTTGAGAGTTTCTTTGCTTTCAGATAAGAGATATTTGAATTCAACACCAAAGGATTCATTCTTGCTTCTCTCATTCTATATTTGCATCTGTCTTCAGTGAGAAGATTGGCTCCCATTTGATAAATCCTCATGTGTGTTACTGTTCTCTCATTATTGCTGCCACCCACACCCTGGGTAGATGCTTAGCTCACTTGGACTCTGACACTCTGTATTGGGACATTCCCTCTTTGCACCTGTTAGATGCCCTCTTTATCCTCCTCAGGGTCTGACATCTTGCACAGGACTGTTCCCATACCTGGATGCCCACTCACCTCACTCAAGCTCTGACTCTCCATTCCAAGCCACCCCACTCTTGGAATCTCCTATGCATTTCACTTAGGCTCTAATAATACTCCTTTCTAAGTTGTTCAGTAAGGAGAAGGACAAGAGGTATTTATGTCTGTTTTAAAAAGTGACTTCATAATGACTTGATTACTACTTTTACAATCTGAAGAATTGATACAGCCTTTTCTATAATCTTACATTAAAGAATCTCTAATTGTATTTCAAAATTTTGCAAGTGTTTATTATAACATCTATAAAATTACAAAATTTATAGAGTGTCAGTTTTTATTCTAAACTGTGAATTGGCCAGGTAGTATTTCATGCTCTGTGGGCCAGTAGGCAAAATTGAGATATTATGCAGTTACTTATATAACAGCCATTTTAAAATGTAAAAACTATTCTTAGCTTCTGGGCTTACAAAATCAGATGAGACAAGATTTGCCCCATGGACTATAGTTTGCTATCCACTTGTTTTAAACTAAACTACTTAGACATTTTTTAAAAAGATAACACTGTTATTATGATTTGAAGCTTACAAAATGCCATTTATGCTTCATTCATTCATTTATTCAACAAATGTTTATTGAGTCTCTGCTGTCTGCTAGGCCCAATGCCAGATGCTACAAAGGTGTATTTTATAAGGCAGGAATCAGTAACCCATCTTACAGCTAAGATATTAAGACTCTGGTCAAGTAACTTGTTAAACTTACTCAAGCTAACAAGTGAAGGCAAAATATTATTTGTTGAATTGTACCCTCTTGCTTCAATAGTAGAATCCATTCATTAATTTGGGGTTTTCTTACATTGACCACAATATTTAATATTGAAAATGTCTCGGCTGGGCGCAGTGGCTCGTGCCTGTAATCCCAGCACTTTGGGGAGTCTGAAGCGGAAGGATCGTTTGAGCCCAGGAGTTCAAGACCATCCTGGGCAACATAGGACGACCACATCTCTGCAATACATAAAATTAAAAACTTAGCTGGGTGTGGTGGCATGTGCCTGTGTTCTCAGCTACTTGGGAGGCTGAGGTGGGAGGATTGCTTGAGCCTGGGAGTCGAGGCTGCAGTAAACCATGATCACATCACTGCACTATAGCCTGGGCAGCAGAACAGGACTAACACGTTGCTTCTAATTTATATATTTGCTGTGAGCTACAGCAGCTTTTTATATGTGTCTATTATGTATGATTTATGCTTCATCATTTAAATATTGATGTGGATTATGATGACTTTTAGCAAAGGTTTTATTCATTCAGTTGATTGATTTTTTTTTTTTCTTTAGGTATGGTTTGGAGAAGATCTGCCTCTAAGTCCTCGGAGTCCTCTGACCCCCAGACATGGACCAGGATTGGCTAATGTTTGTCAGTATGATGAGTGGATAGCTGTGAGGCATGAAGCCACTCTGTTGCCCATGCAAGAAGATCTATCAATCTGGTTATCTGGTTTATTAGGTGATGCTTGAAACAATACCCCAAATTGTATTATCTTATTCAGTATGCATTTATTGAGAGCCTTACTCTTTGTCAAGGAGTGATTATTACAGATGCTGGGGATACTCTAGTGAATGAAGTATTCAGTGCCCTTGCTTTCACCAAAGTTACATTTCAGCTGGGGAAATACTCTGATTCACCCTGAACCTTGGGTCTTGAATAGTAGGAAATTTGAGATTTAACCGAAGAGGTCAATAAACTTTGAATAATGAACATTTTCATTGTTAAAATCATCTTTAAAAAGTGTGTTGATCTTTTTTTTTTTTTTTTTTTTTTTACTGATTCACCCCCCTCACCCCCCACCCGCCTTAGTCTTGTGTAAGCCATGAACTTTGAGTGAAATATATACTGTAGATAAAATGATTACAATTTCTGAGGCATTGAAGGATAGAGGCATATGAAACCTAGGAAGAAGTGTCAGGTTGGAGAATGTCTGGCATCATATTTTTTACGCTATTAGAGAATATGATGAATGCTTTAAACTTTCTCCCCAGAAAAATTTTACTTTAAATAATTTTATGTGGAATTCTTAAGTGTTCATGAAAAAGAGTATCTTAAATGATATAGCCCTTCCAAGATAATAAAATACCAAATATTATCTGCATTTGTCTATTATCAGTTTGATGGATAATGTTTAGAGTTTATTATGTAATAATAATGTTTTTAAAGAAGATAATCTAGAAGTAAAACGTTAGTATTCCCTGGGTATTTGTTATGGTATTGTCTTTAATTTTAAAATTGGAACCAAGTCCATCTTATTTATAGAGACTATTATTCTTGTGCAAGGAATATTAATACGCAGTGAATTTATTTCAAATGAAATAAAATCGATGTCGGTTTTCTATATTTTTTCTGTACTTCTACATTACAGATATTTTTGTTTCAGTATCATTAAGTTAACTTGCCATTATTTGCTATTTTAACTGTACCTTCTAAGAGTATTTAAGAGTCTGATCTGATATTTTTCTAGTGTTTTGCTGTAATCTGATTCTATTTAATTAATTTTAACCATATTGTTTGAATTTATGTTTCTAGAAGAATCTTAACTTTGAAATATGTTTTTAGGTATTAAAGTTAAGGCAGAAAAATTATTGGAAGAACTTGATAATGGAGTACTACTATGTCAACTGATTGATGTTCTTCAAAACATGGTGAAAACATGCAACTCTGAAGAATCAGGGGTAAGTAAATGTTTGACAGTGTTGATTTTATGTCTTGGTACCTATTAATTTATGTATATTTCTTATCTCTAGAAGGTTGTAGACTTCCATGCCAACTGGCTATGAGATGTTGAATAATTTACTTAACCCTTTTCAAGATCTGGAAAAATGTTCTCTTTCATAAAATGACATTAACAGTTACCTTAGGATTTATTTGTGAGAGTTCAGTCAAATTAAATGAGTGAATGTACAGATGGTGTCTAACATAGTGCTTGATGCATAGTCAATCCAGCTCTTCTTGAGAACATTAACATAACTTCCTTTTAGAATTGTTGTGAGGGTTACTGATGGACATTTGGGTTGATTCCAAGTCTTTGCTATTGTGAGTAGTGCCGCAATAAACATACGTGTGCATGTGTCTTTATAGCAGCATGATTTATAATCCTTTGGGTATATACCCAGTAATGGGATGGCTGGGTCATATGGTACATCTAGTTCTAGATCCTTGAGGAATCGCCATACTGTTTTCCATAATGGTTGAACTAGTTTACAATCCCACCAACAGTGTAAAAGTGTTCCTATTTCTCCACATCCTCTCCAGCACCTGTTGTTTCCTGACTTTTTAATGATCACCATCCTAACTGGTGTGAGATGGTATCTCATTGTGGTTTTGATTTGCATTTCTCTGATGGCCAGTGATGATGAGCATTTTTTCATGTGTCTGTTGACTGTATGAATGTCTTCTTTTGAGAAATGTCTGTTCATATCCTTTGCCCACTTTTTGATGGGGTTGTTTGTTTTTTTCTTGTAAATTTGTTTGAGTTCTTTATAGGTTCTGGATATTAGCCCTTTGTCAGATGAGTAGATTGCAAAAATTTTCTCCCATTCTGGATTAAGAAAATGTGGCACATATACACCATGGAATACTATGCAGCCATAAAAAAGGATGAGTTTGTGTCCTTTGTAGGGACATGGATGCAGCTGGAAACCATCATTCTTAGCAAACTATCACAAGAACAGAAAACCAAACACCGCATGTTCTCACTCATAGGTGGGAACTGAACAATGAGATCACTTGGACTCGGGAAGGGGAACATCACACACCGGGGCCTATCATGGGGAGGGGGGAGGGGGGAGGGATTGCATTGGGAGTTATACCTGATGTAAATGACGAGTTGATGGGTGCTGACGAGTTGATAGGTGCAGCACAGCAACATGGCACGAGTATAGATATGTAACAAACCTGCACGTTATGCACATGTACCCTAGAACTTAAAGTATAATAATAAGAAAAAAGAAAAAAAAAAAAAGAATTGTTGTGAGGGTTAAATGGGAAAAGAGCTTGTGATGGTTCCTGGCACACGAGTAGCAGCTGCTATTATTATTTTCTTCTTTATATATTTTCCATATATTGTGTTGGTGGTAATTTCTATAAATATTGATTGTATAAATAATAAATGTTTTTAGACAGTTTTCATTCGTTAGCCCTGAAGTCATGATTTGAAGTCGGTAAGGTTTCCTCTCTTTTCATCAAATGTAGGTATTCTCAAGAGTTTGGAGTCTGCAAATTTACACACAGTTGGTGGAAATATAAGGGAGTATCATCATTCTAGGGGACAGTGGATGATATGTGTGTGTGTATATATATATCACTGAAAAGAAGGTATATCTTGTAAAAATATTTTGTGGGTACATACTAGGTGTGTATATTTATGGGGTACATGAGATACTTTGATACAGGCATGCAATAAGTAATAATCATCGTGGAAAATAGGATATCCATTCCCTCAAGTATTTATTCTTTGTGTTACAAGCAATCCAATTGTACTCTTTTAGTTATTTTTAAATGTACAATTAAATTATTATTGACTGTAATCACCCTGTTGTACTATCAAATACTAGGTATTATTAATTCTTTCTAACTATATTTTTTGCACCCTTAAACATCTCCACTTCCCCCACCTCCCACAATCCTTCCCAGCCTCTGCTAAGCGTCCTTCTACTATCTCCATGAGTTCAGTTGTTGATTTTTAGCACCCACAAATAGTTGAGAACATGTGATGTTTGTCTTTCTGTGCCTGTTGTATTTCACTTAACATAATGACCTCCAGTTCTATCCTGTTACAAATAACAGGATCTCAGTCTTTTTTATAGCTCTATGGTACTCCATTGTATATATGTGCCACATTTTCTTTACCTGTTCATCTGTTGATGGACATTTAGGTTGATTCCAAATCTTGGCTATTGAGAACAGTGCTTCAGCAAACATAGGAGTGCAGATAATCTCTTTAATATACTGATTTCCTTTCTGTTGGGTATATACCCAGTGGGTTGTTGGGTCATATGGTAGCTCTATTTTCAGTTTTTTGAGGAACCTTGAAACTGTTCTCCATAGTGGCTGTAGTAATTTATATTACCACCAGCAGTGTATGAGGGTTCCCTTTTCTCCACATCTTTGCCAGCATTTGTTATTGCTTGTCTTTGGGATGAAAGCCATTTTAATTGGGGTGAGATGATATCTCATTGTAGTTTTGATTTGCATTTCTTTGATATCAGTGATGTTGAGCACCTTTTCTTATATCTGTTTGCCATTTGTGTGTCTTTTGAGAAATGTCTATTCAAATCTTTTGCCCATTTTTAAATTGGATTATTAGATTTTATCCTACAGAGTTGTTTGAGCTCCTTACATATTCTACTTAATAATCCCTTGTCAGATGGATTGTTTGCAGATATTTTCTCCCATTCTGTGGGTTGCTCTTCAATGTGTTGTTTCCTTTACTGTGCAGAAGCTTTTTAACTTGATGTGATCCTATTTATTTTTGATTTGGTTGCTTCTGCTTGTGGGGTATTACTTACGAAGTTTTTGCCCAGACCAATGTCATGGAGAGTTTTCCCAATGTTTTCTTGTAACAGTTGCATAGTACGAGGTCTTAGATTTAAGTATTTAATCCATTTTTATTTCATTTTTATATATGGTGAGAGACAGGGGTCAAGTTTCATTCTTCTGCATGTGAATACCCAGTTTTCCCAGCAGATTTTATTGAAGAGACTGTCCTTTCTCCAATCTCTGTTCCTAGCACCTTTGTTATAAGTGAGTTCACTACAGTTATCTGGATTTATTTCTGAGTTTTCTTTTCTGTTCCATTGGTCTGTGTCTCTTTATGCCAGTACCATACTGTTTTGGTTGAAGTCAGGTAATGTGATTCCTCCAATTTTGTTCTTTTTACTCAGGATAGTTTTGACTATTCTCAGTCTTTTGTGATTCCATATAAATTTTAGGATCTTTTTTCCATTTCTATGAAGAATGCCGTTGTTATTTTGGTAAGGATTACATTGAGTCTGTAGATTGCTTTGAGTAGTATGACCATTTTAACAATATTGATTCTTCCAATCCATGCACATGGAATATTTTACCATTTTTTGGTGCCCTCTTCAATTTTTCATTAGTGTTTTATTGTAGAGATATTTCACTTCTTAGCTTAAGTTAATTCCTAGGTATTTAATTTTATTTGTGACTGTTGTAAATAGGATTACTTTTTATTTCTTTTTCAGATTGTTGCCATACAAATGCTACAGATTTTTGTATGTTGATTTTGTGTCCTGAAACTTTACTGAATTTGTTTATCAGCTCTAATGGTTTTTTTGTGTGTGGGGGGGTCTTTAGGTTTTTCTAAATATAAGATCATATCATCTGCAAACAAGAATATTTGACATCTTCCTTTCCAGTTCGGATGCCAAATCTTTCTTTCTCTTGTCTGATTACTCTAGCTAGGACTTCCAGAATTGTGTTGAATAACAGTGATGAAAGTGGGCATCCTTGTTGTGGTCCAGACCTTAGAGGAAAGGCTTTCAGTTTTTCCTCATTTGGTATGATACTAGCTGTGGGTCTGTCATCATATGGCTTTTATTATGCTGAGGTGTGTTCCTTCTATACCCAGTTTCTTTAGGGTTTTTATCACAAAGGGATTTAAATTTTATCAAATGCTTTTTCTACATCAATTGAAATGATATATATGGTTTTTATACTTCATTTCGTTGATAGATGTATCACACTGATTGATTTGCACATGTTGAAACATCGTCGCATCCCTGCGATAAATCCCAATTGGTCATGATGAATAATTTTTTAAATGTATTGTTGAATTCAGTTTGCTAGTATTTTGTTGAGGATTTTTGCATCAATATTCATCAGAGATATTGGTCTGTTATCTTCATTTTTTAATATGTCTTTGTCTGGTTTTGGTATAATACTGGCCTCATAGAATGAGTTTGGAAGTAATCCCTCCTCTTCTGTTTTTCAGAATAGTTTGAGTAGGACTGCTATTAGTTCTTCTTCAAATGTTTGGTAGAATTCAGCAGTGAAGCACTTGGGTCCCAGGCTTTTCTTTACTGGGAGGCTTTTTTTTACAGCTTTGATCTTGTTACTTGTTATTGGTCTGTTCAGGTTTTGTTGTCATACAGTTGCTCAGTATAATCCTTTAAATTTCTGTGGTATCAGTTGTAATGTCTCCTTTTTCATCTCTGATTTTATTTGGGTCTTCTCTCTTTTTTCTTAGTCTGACTTAAGGTCTGTCAATTTTATTTATCCTTTCAAAAAACCAACTTTAAGTTTTGTTTATCTTTTGCTATTGTTTTTGTCATTTCAATTTCATTTATTTCTGTTCTGATCTTCATTATTTCTTTTCTTGTACTAATTTCGAGTTGATTTGCACTTGTTTTTTTAGTTCTTTAAGATGCATTGTTAGGTTATTTATTTTAAGTTTTTCTTCTTTTTTGATGTGGACACTTACAGCTATAAATTTACCTCTTAATACTGCTTTCACTGTATCCCATAGGTTTTGGTATTTGTGTTTTCATTATTTTTTTCAAGAAAATTTTTCAGTTTTCTTCTTAATTTCCTCATTGACCCACTGGTGTCAGTCATTCAGGAGCATATTGTTTAATTTCCATGTGTTTATATTGTTTCCAAAATTACTCTTGTTATAGATTTCTAGTTTTATTCCATTATGGTCAGAGAAGATGCTTTATATTATTTCAATTTTAAAAAATATTTTAGGAGTTGTTTTGTAACCTAACATATGATCTGTGCTTGAGAATGATCCACCTGCTAAGGAGATTAAAGCAGCTGCTGAATGAGATGTTCTGTAAATATCTGTTAGGTCTATTTGTTCTACAGTGAAGATTAAGTCTGATGTGTCTTTTCTGATTTTCTATCTGGAAGATCTGAGCAATGCCGAAAGTGGGGTTTTGAAGTCTCCATCTATTACTATATTGGAGTCTCTCTCTCTCTTTAGCTGTAATAATATTTGCTTTATTTATCTGAGTGCTCTAGCATTGGGTCCATATATATTTACAATTTTTATATCCTCTTGCTGAATTGACCTCTTTATCATTATATAATGACCTTCTTTGTCTCTTCTTATGGGTTTTGTCTTAGAATTCATTTTGTCTGATATAAATATAGCTACTCCTGTTTTTCGGGTTTCCCATTGGCATGGAGTATCTTTTTCCATCCCTTTATTTTCAGTCTATATGTGTTTTTATGGGTGAAGAGTGTTTCCTGGAGACAACAGAAAATTGGGTCTTGCTTTTTCATCCATTCAGCTACTTTGTAGTCTTTTGATTGGAGAATTTAATCTATTTACATTCAGTGTTATAATTGATAAATAAGGACTTACTCCTGCCATTTTGTTGTTTTCTGGTTGTTTTTTGGTCGGCTCCTTCTTTCCTTCCTTCCTGTCTTTTAGTGAAGCTGATTTTCTCTGGTGGTATGCTTTAATTTCTTACTTTCTATTTTTCATGTATCTGTTGTATGTTTTTTGATTTGAGGTTACCATAAGGCTTGCAAATAATATCTTATAACCCATTATTTTAAACTGATTGCATAAGCAAAAGAACTATTAATAGCAAGGGATATTGTCACAGAACTTCCCAAACCTAGAGAAAGATATCAATATTCAAGTACAAGAAAGTTATAAAACACTAGCAGATTTAACCAAAGAACACTACCTCAAGGCATTTAATAAACTCCTAAAGGTCAAGGATAAAGAACTCACTTTAGCGTTTCTTGTAGGATGGTCTGGTGTGGATGAAATCCTTCAGCTTTTGTTGTCTGGGAAAGTCTTTATTTCTCCTTCATGCTTAAAGGATCCTAAAAGCAGCAAGAGAAAAGAAACAAATAATACACAATGGAGTCATGTTCCCCCAGGCCCTGGTTGGGTCCAGAGATGCTGTCTGGGAGCCAGAGATTGAAGTCTTAAACCTTAGAAATTTACCTGATATTACTGTTTTACTGCAGCTAAGCCAGCACTCAAACCACAAGTCAAAGTCCTTCCCACTCTTTCTTCCTCTTTTTATGGGCAGAGGAGCCTCTCCCTGTGGCTACTACCACCACTGGCCCCTGTGGGTTTCTGCCAGGCCACTGCCAGTAGAACCCAAGGGCTCTTTAGTCAGCTTGTGGTGAATGCTGCCAGGCCTGGGACTCACCCTTCAAGGCAGTGGCCTCCCCTCTGGCCCAGGCCAGGTCCAGAAATGCTGACCAAGAGCCGAGGCCTAAAGCTGGGGACTCCTCAGAGCTTGCTTGGTGCTCTACCCCACTGTGTCTGAGTTGGTCCCTAAGGCACAAGACAGAGTCAGCTTTACTTTTCCCCTTGCCTTTCTCAAACAGGAGGAGTCTTTCATTGTAGCCACCAAAACTGGGAATGTATTCAGTCCCACCTGAAGCTAGTATGTCTGACAGCCCAACGCCCATGGCGTATTACCTGGGTATCACTGATGGTTATTCAGGGCCCAAGGGTTCTTTACTCAGCAGGTGATGAATCCTGATAGGTCACCATTGTGACAAGGCAGCACTGAGTTCAGCGTAAAGTCCTCCAGTTGCTGTGCTGTCTGTCTTCCAAGTGCACAGCTTTCTCTGTACCTTGTGGCTGCTGCCAGGGGTTGGGGGAGGTGGTGCAAGCACACGCTTAGCCTGGTTGATGTCTCAGTAGGTCATATGCTCCTCCCCTCTGGTCCACTGGCTCTGAGTCCATCTCAGCACTGGACTTGCCTAGGACTTGCAATTCTTGTGGCTTAGACTGTCCCTCAAGTTCACTTAGGTCCCCAGAGCACTCCAGTTCATGGTAGCGAGGCTTGTCTGAACTCAAGCTCTTATTACTGTAATGGGTGAGTCCCCTCTAGCTGGGGTTGGTCCAAATGCTTTCTCCATGGGCAGACGTCAGCTACTAAAGCCTGGTTCTGCCTTCTGCTGTGTAAGGACAGCAGTGAGTTCAATGTAAAGCCTCAAAATCACTGTACTCTCCCTCTCCCAGATACACAGATTCTCTGTGCCATGTGGTTGCTGCCGGGAAGATGGAGGGAGGGGTGGGCAATTTAAGACTGTCTTTCCTTCCCTCTTCAATGTCTCTCTCAGCGATATGAAATTAAAACCAGATTTCTGGTCTGATTTTTGATTCTTGTAATGGTGCTTCTTGTGTGTAGTTAGTTGTTAAAATTTGATGTTCCTGTGGGCAAGACAAATGTTGTAGGTTTGTATGGGGCTGTCTCGCTCTGCCCCCTAAAGCACATCTTTTGATACATAGGTCTACTTGTAGGAATTTATTCTGAGAAAATAATCAGAAGTTTGTGAAAGTGATAGTACAGAAATTAGGAACAACCTAAATGTTCATCAATAGAGAAATTGGTAAAAATTAATTATGGTAACCAGCCACATTGGAATATTATACATTCATTAGAAACAATTTTTTAAATATGTTGTTTTAAACCCCACATGATGTCTACACCCTGTCATTTAGTGTATATGCACACATGCACACACAAATGAAATTGAAGAATGGCTTATGTGACGTTTTGTAGATACAAATATGTGTATAGTTGTGCATAGAGATGTCTTGCCGAAATGTGGGTGAGAGGATTTCAGTTGATACTTTGTAGTTTGCTCTTGGTTTGATTTTTTTTTTTTTTTCAGTGATTGTATATTCTGTATTCAATCAGGGAAAAAAAAACTCCTAAGGTTATTTTAGTTTTGGAAATAAATAGTAACAGGAAGGATATACAAGGAACTAGTAATAGTGGTTAACTCTAGGGAGAGAGAGGAACTGGGAGTAGGTGAGAGAAAGGCGTAATAACAAAAATTACAAAAATCATATTCATGGATTGCTTATTCAAGTAAAAATTTAAACCGAACCAAAACAAAAAAATCTCTTAGGCTCAGCAGAATTATCCAAATAATCTTGGAGCAGATAGTAAAAAAAAATTAAGATTCTGTGAAACTTAGATCATAAGTTTTCAAAAAACTTTAATTAAGAAGGAACAACTACTTCCTTATTTGATAGTCTCCTCAAGAAACTCAGAACCATCTTTATGAATCTACATGGAAGGAAGGAAGCAAAAATGGGTGTCTGTGATTTTTTTTTTTTTTTTGAGAAAGAGTCTTGCTCTGTTGCCCAGGCTGGAGTACAGTGGCATGATCATAGCTTACTGCATCCTGGAACTGCTGGGCTCAAGTGATGCTCTCACCTCAGCCTCCTGAGCAGCGGGACTTTAGCTACGTGCCACCATACCTGCCTAATGTTTAAAAAAATATTTTATAGAAATGAGGTCATACTATGTTGCCCAGGCTGGTCTTGAGCTCCTAGCCTCAAGCAACCCTGCTTCAGCCTCCCAAAGTGATGGGATTACAAGTGAGTCATCATACCCATCTCTTAACTTTTAACATAGCAATAATTTGAGGTTTATATTGAACTATGTGTAGAGAGACATACAGTTGAGAGTGCTTTGCAATTATTAGGCTGTCAGTTTTTATTTTAATTTAAGATTCTTACGTCATTTTAAAAAGAAAGAGGTGAGAGATGCTTGATCCTACTGCTAATTTTGACCAAATTGTTTTTCTAGGAATCATTTTTCTGGAATATACTTTAAAGCAGCAGTCCCCAATCTTTTTGGCACCAGGGACTGGTTTAATGGAAGACAGTGTTTCCACAGATTTGGGGCTGGGGGGGTTTTGAGATGAAACTGCTCAACCTCAGATCATCAGGCATTAGATTCTCATAAGGAGCACGCAGCCTAGATCCCTCGCATGCACAGTTCACAATAGGGTTCGAGCTTCTGTGAGAATCTAATGCTGCTGCTGATCTGATAGGAGGCAGAGTTCAGGTGATAATGCTTGCTTACCCACTGCTCACCTCCTGCTGTGCGGCCTGGTTCCTAACAGGCCACGGACCGGTACCAGTCTGTGGCCCAGGGTTTGGGGACCTCTGCTTTAAAGTAAAATAAAATAGTTTTCAAAAGTATCTTTTTTCTCCAAAGTTGTGTACTTTTTGGTTACAGGTGATGGATTGAACATTTATTTAGTAATATCAAAATGACTGTTTAATGAAAATATCCTTGATACATTTTTGAAATTATTATTTTATCTTTTCCAGAATTTTCCAGCGAGAAAAGTGCCCTGTAAGAAAGATGCTGCATCAGGTTCATTCTTTGCTCGGGACAATACCGCAAACTTCCTTCACTGGTGTAGGGACATTGGGGTTGATGAAACTTACCTCTTTGAATCTGAAGGTTTAGGTAAGTGATGTTGTTGACATTCTTGTTTTTAATGCTTATTAGGAGATTTTAATATCCTTAACCTCTAATTTTTCTTTCCAAATAAGGACTCAAATGCCTCATCTCATTTTCCTAGAAAAATGTATACTTGGAATATATGTTAAACTATTGGAGAATCAGGGCTGGGCGCAGTGGCTCATGCCTATAATTCTAGCACTTTGGGAGGCTGAGACGGGCGGATCATGAGGTCAGGAGATCGAAACCATCCTGGCTAACACGGTGAAACCCCGTCTACTAAAAAAAAAAAAAATTAGCTGGGCATGCTGGCGGGCACCTGTAGTCCCAGCTACTTGGAAGGCTGAGGCAGGAGAATGGCGTGAACCTGGGAGGTGGAGCTTGCAGTGAGCCGAGATCACACCACTGCAGTCCAGCCTGGGTGACAGAGCGAGACTCCGTCTCAAAAAAAAAAAAAAGAATCAGATATTAAATAAATCAAATATATTAACCTTTTCACTTACAGTTAAAGATTTTATGTGTCTAGAATGCCCTAAAATTCTAAATTCCTAAATGAGTTGGCTACATTAAGAATTACTCTACCAAGCCTAAAAAGTAGTAACTTCCCTTTCACCATATAATTATGGAAATGACAGAAGGCCTAATAATGTATAATCATGGTGTTTAGCTTTACCGTATAACAACAGCTGCCAACTCTAATGGATTAATATTTTTGACAATTCATTTTGAGAAGTCATGCTCCGTTGAAGAATGATTGACGTATTTTCTCATTTCCTTTAAGTCAACAGAAGCACCTGTATAGTGACTAAAGCGGTAGCTATTTAAGTTTTGTACTATATTTGAAAGCATTTATGTATGTGTACATACACACCCATACCCACCTCCCTACCCCCACACACTGAATTCATAATGTGATAAGCACAGCAGTATACCAAGGGCAGGGCTGTGGGAGTTGTCTGCCCTGGTAGAAGTTTTGTCACTGACATTGTTTAGGATTGCTGGTTTGTGGTGATAGTAAAAAGCAAACTGACTTTTAGTTGGTGCATTATTGTTTTAAAATTCTCTACTGACAGTGCACACCCTTATTGCCTGCACACAGGGTAAGTTGCCTCCCGTTTACTCTGCATCTGGGCACCCGTATCCAGTGCAGAGCAAGCATGGGATGCTATTTTATCCCTCTGTTTGCACCTTGCTTTAGATCCAGGTGGGCTGATCTTTATTGACAATGTAGTTGATGTAATGGCATATCTACTTTCTAGACATCAAAAGAAAGTGGAAATGCTTTGAATTCTCTAGTTTCTGGTTTATAGTTTCTGAAAGGACATAAGATGGTTGTATATTTCTCATTTTCAGTAGAAGGCATCTTCTCACTCTCCTGAAGGTCAGTATAGGACTAAGTAAAGCGCTGTCAATAGCAGTAATTCATTTTGAGGCATTGAACCAATAAGCTAATGTTTTTACTCTCCAGAGGTCTCAAAGATGAGCCTCTTAATTTTTCACACTTTGCTAGCAACTCATAGCTATTTTATGAAACAAATATACTATTTTAAGAAACTTAGAAAGTATTTAGAAAAACAAGTTTAATAAAAATTTTAGGATAAATTCCTCTGTTGGTATGAATTTTAAACTCAAATGTAGGCTTTTTATTGCTTTGAAAGAGTATACTTTGTGCTTGGGATGTATAATAGATGCTATTCATAAGTCAAAGAACAATTACTATTTTTATTGAGAGAATCAGGGCAAATGCAGTTCATGCACATATTGCACATGATTAGATTAGGATTCAGAAATTTCCTAGACTTTCTAACTTTAAGGACTGGAACAGAAAGGTAGATGATCCATAACTACTACTATATCATTGCATTTAGCGTATGTTCTATGATCAGGCCTTTTTAAAAAATATTTTAAAGATCCCTGTTTACCTTTATATTGCATTTCCTTTTAAATTTATTTTTATTTTTAGTATTGTATTAAAATGCACATAAAATTTACTATCTTAGGCTGGGCACGGTGGCTCACGCCTGTAATCCCGGCACTTTGGGAGGCTGAGGCAGGCAGATCACCTGAGGACAGGGGTTCGAGACCAGCCTGGGCAACATGGTGAAACCCCGTCTCTACAAAAATACAAAAATCAGCTGGGCATGGTGGTGCATGCCAGTAGTCCCAGCTACTCAGGAGGCTGAGGCGGGAGAATTGCTTGAACCTGGGAGTGCAGTGAGCCAAGATCACGCCACTGCACTCCAGACTGGGTGAAAGTGAGACTCAAAAAAAAAATTACTATCTTAACCATTTAACCATTTTTAAGTGTATTAGTTTCTTTTGTAGTAGCATAAAAATTGAGATATGCTGTGTACATAATGTAAAATTTATAATTTTAAAATGTACATTTCAGTGGTTTTTAGTATATTCACTATGTTGTACAATCATTACTACTATCTAATTTTGGAACATTTCTAGAAAATCTATACCTATTAGCAATTAGTCCCAGTTATTCTCTTCCCCCATGCCAAGGCAAACCCTGTTCTCTGTCTCTATGGATTTGCATATTCTTGATGTTTCATGTAAATGGAATCATACAATATGTGGCCTTTTGTGTCTGTTTCTTCTACTTAGCACAGTGGTTCATTTATGTTGTAGCATGTAACAGTACTTCATTCCTTTTTATGGTAGACTAATATTCCATTGTATAGCTATGCCATATTTTTTTAATCCATTAATCAGCTAGTGGGCATTTGGATTGTTTCCACTCTTTGGCTATTGTGAATAATGTTGCTCTGAACATTTGTGTACAAATTTTGACGTAAACATCTTTTTTTTGAGACAAGAGTCTTGCTCTGTCACCCAGGCAGGAGTGCAGTGGCACAATCTCGACTCACTGCAAGCTCCGCCTCCCGGGTTCATGCCATTCTCCTGCCTCAGCCTCCCGAGTAGCTGGGACTACAGGCACCCGCTACCATGCCCAGCTAATTTTTTGTATTTTTTAGTAGAGACGGGGTTTTACCGCGTTAGCCGGGATCGTCTCGATCTCCTGACCTTGTGATCCGCCCATCTCGACCTTCCAAAGTGCTGGGATTACAGGCTTGAGCCACTGCGCCCGGCTGTAAACATATTTTTTAATTCTTTCAGATATATGCCTAGGAGTGGAATTTCTAGGTCATATGGTAACTCTGTCTATCTTTTTGAGGAGCTATTTTCAAAGTGGCTGGACCATTTTACATTTCCACCAGCAGTGCCCATGTGTTCCAATTTCTCCACATCTTTGTCAATACTTGTTATTGCCTGTTTTTGTTTTTATTATAACCATGCTAGTGGGTGTGAAGCAGTATTTTGTTGTGGTTTTGATTTGCATTTCCCTAAGGACATTGAACATCTTTTTATATGCTTGTTAACCACTTGTATAACAACTTTGGAGACTGTCTATTCAAATCCTTTGCCTATTTAAACAATTGGGTCATTTACCCTTTTTGTCAGCTTGCAAGAATTCTTTATATATTCTAGATACTAGGCCATATTAGATAGGATTTGTAAATATTTTCTCCTAGCCTTTGGGTTATTTTTTTACTTTCTTGATAGTGTCCTTTGATATATGCAAATTTTAAATTTTGGTGATGTTTATCTATTTTTTTTTTTTTTTTTTGCTTATTCATACTTTTGGTCATCTAAAAATCCGTTGCCTAATTAAAGTCATACATATTTTTAACCTATATTTTCTTCTATAAATGTTACAGTTGGTGCCTCTTAGTTTTAGGTCATTGATCTATTTTGAGTTAGTTTTTGTATATGGTGGGAGGTAGGGGTTCAAATTCATTCTTTTGCATATAGATGTCCAGTTGTGCCAACACAGTTTGTTGAAAAACCTGTTCTCTCCTTATTGAATTGTCTTAGCATCTTGTTGAAATTAATTGTACATAAATGTGTGGGTTTATTTCTGGACACTCATTTCCATTCCATTGATCTGTACATTTATCCCTATGCCAGTGATACACTGTCTTGATTACTGTAGCTTATAGTGAGTTTTGAAATTGGGAGGTGTGAGTCTCCAACTTTGTTCTTTTTCTAGATTGGTTAGGCTTTTCTGTGCCTTTGGAGTCCCATATTAATTGGATCATCAGCTTTTCCATTTCTGGGAAAAAAAAAAGGGCTGTTGTAATTTTGATAAGGATTACACTGAATCTGCAGGTCGATTGGGGGAATGTTGCTGTCTTAACAAATTGTCTTCCAATCCACGAACATGAGATGTCTCTATTTATAATCTTAAAATTTCATTCAACAGTGTTTTGTAGTTTTCAGTGTACGAGTGTTACAATTCTGTGATTAGGTTGACTTCCAAGTACTTTGTTCTTTTTGAAGCCATTTTAAGTGGAATTATTTTCTTCATTTCATTTTCATACTGTTCATTTCTGGTGTATGCAACTAATTTTTGTGTGTTGATGTTACCTCCCACAACTTTGCTGAACTTGCTTATTAGCTCTAACAGTTATTTTGTAGATTCTTCAGGGTTTTCTTCTATACATAGGATTACGTTACCTGTTTTTTGTTTTTTTGTTTAGTTTTTGTTGCTTTGTTTTTTGAGACGGGGTCTCCCTCGGTCACCCAGGACTGGAGTATAAGTGGCATGATAATAGCTCGCTGCAGTCTTGAACTCATGGATTCAGTTCATCCTCCTGCCTCGGCCTCTTGAGTATCTGGGATTACAAGTGTGTGCCACTATGCCTGGCTAATTAAAAAAAAAAAGAAAATTGTAGAGACAGAGTCTCACTTTGTTGCCCAGGCTGATCTCAAACTCCTAGCCTCAAGCAATCTTCCCGCCTCAGTCTCCCAAAGTGCTAGTAGTAGTATAGGTGTGAGCCACCATGTCTGGCCTATGTTATCTGTTAATAGATGTAGTTTTCCTTCTTCCTTTCTAGTCCAGATACGATTTATTTATTTTTCTTGCATAAATGTCATGGCTACAACCTCCAATACAATGCTGAATAGAAATAATAACAGTGGACATCCTTGTCTTTTCCTGGTCTTGAGAGGGAGACTTACAGTTTTTTACCTTTAAGAAAGATAATGACTGTGGGTTTTTCCTAGATGCCCTTTATCAGATTGAGAAACTTTCCTTCTTTTCCTGGTTTGTTCAGTCTGTTTTTTTTTTTTTTTTAAATCATGAAATGGTTGGATTTTGTGAAGTGGCTCTTTGTCTCTTGAGATAAGATAATTGTGTGTGTTTTTTCTTTACTCTGCTAATAGTGTATTGCATTGGTTGATTTTCTTATATTGAACTATTTCTGGCATAAATGACACTTGCATGGTATATAATCCTTTAATATGCTGCTGGATTTGGTTTGCCAGTATTTCTTTGAGGATTTTTGTATCTATATTCATAAGACATACTGGGTTTTCGTTTTCTTATGATGTCTTCATCTGGCTGGCTACCTTTGGTATCAGGGTAATGCTGTCATCCTAGAATGAGTTAGGAAGTACTTTCTCTCCTCTTTGTAAGAGTTTGAGAAAGGTATTAACACATAATTCAATGCTAAAGATAGCTTAAAATAAAATCGAGGTATTATATATCTTTTAATGGTATCTCTTGTTGAAAGATCTGAAACATAAGCAATGTTACTAAGCCCTCAATTTTTTAGACTTTAAATGCTGTACAAATAAAGGTCCATGGTAATTTTTCATTCTGTTCTTGTTAGCTGGTTTTTTTTAAACTAATTTGTCGAAGATAATAAGTAGAAAAAATAAAAGTGCCTTTTCTTTATTTTTTCTGAACTAGTAAACCCACTGTCTTCATTTTTTTTTTTAATTTAACTCTCTTCTTCCATGCTAGAAATATGTTTCCATACTTAATTTTGCTGTATAAAATAAGTGATTTTATTTTCCACAGTTTTGCACAAAGATCCAAGACAGGTGTATCTTTGCCTTCTTGAAATTGGTCGAATTGTGTCAAGGTATGTATTTCACCATATTTCAGAATTTCAATGTTATAAACATTTTAAATCTACTGAATTTTAGAACTCTATTTTCTATAAATTAAAAAATTGCTTTAAATTAATTTGCTATTTTTTGTTTCTTTATCAACTTTGTTCTGTTTGCATGAGCATATGTAAACATCTGAGTTCTCAATATAGCTTGTCTTCATTTACTGTTAAACTGCATTTACTGTTCAATTTTTTACATTAAGGATAGGGTAAGATCATGTAGTCTAAGGCAGTTGAAGTCAAAGCAAGTCCTCTGAACACAGAGAGGATCTGGCAGAAGGCCAAGGCGCGGTGTCCCCCATACCTACTTCAGTTCTGTCTTTACTCACCAGGTGATTTGAAAGCCATCTTTCAGGATCCCAGGTAGAATATTGGGAGCATCCTGCAACCCAAATATGTGCTATGATGTGAGGATTATAATATAGATATTTTGCAATCTATGAGACATTAAACAGCATTTTCAAATATCCCAGTGAAACAATTGGTAGAAAAGGACCATATAGACTTTGCTTCAGAAAGAAAATCTATCTTGATGTGCAGGCAAGTACCTGGGTCAACTTTGCTTGAATAATCAGATCTCCTGGTTGGTTTTCAGATATGGGGTTGAGCCACCAGTGTTAGTAAAACTTGAGAAAGAAATTGAGTTAGAAGAGACCTTGCTTAATACTTCTGGGCCTGAAGATTCCATCACCATTCCAAAATCGTGCTGTCAGCATGAAGAGCTACATGAAGCTGTAAGTAGTTGCCACACTTTCTTTTGACCATAGTACCTTGAAGTCTCATAGTTTTAAGCACTTCTAGTTTGCTACAGGTGATGCTATTTTTAAAAGCAAGTATTTCTTATTCAGAATATAAACCAGTACTATTCTCCATTCTCTGATGAATTCAGGGCATTATATTTTAAAGGTGATTTGTTATTGCGTGTGTATGATGAGGAATAAATGTGTAGTTGAGGAGTGGTGGGGCAAACTGATTGGAACTCATCATGAAGAGCACTATAGGCCACAAGAATTCATTGATTCTTTTTTCAGTCTGGTAGTATTGTAATCTGATTTGCAAATTATAAGGAATATTCTCATGGTCATGTAGAGGTGATATTGGTTTTATGGTAATAATCCAGGCGTAAGATGAGAGCTTGAACTTGAGCAGCAGTAATGGGGATGAAGCAAAAGGAACAAATATAAGACATATTTAGGAGGAATTGTTAGAAGAATTGACAGGAATTAGTGACTGATTGTGTGAGAAAGAGAGAATCTAGGGTGATTTCCAAGGTTTCTCTAAGTAGATGGAGAATACAGGAGGAGGGAAAGTTGTGAGGGAATATTGATGGGTTTTTTTTTTTTTTTTTTTGAGAATTCTCTCCTCCAGAATATATCCAAACTTGTTAGATGATAAGTTACAACTGGATAGTCTTCTTAACGTTATCTGTTCATTAGGTAGAAGTTAATAGAATTGCTCTTCCTTGGGTTGTGGGTCTTCTACAGTGACTACAGTGTGAACAATGAAGGTGAACTGAGCATGAACATTTTCTGCTTAGACTGTTGTTTGGACTGTAGCATTTTGTGAAAGTGTGAAATACACAAAATTAAGAAATAATGAATAAATCATTACTAATAAACATTTTAAAAGTATTGCCTTGATTGTTTTGTTTAATGTAATAAAAGTCTATAGTAAAACTATCAGATAACCTTGCAAGACAGATTAAGAACATGTCAGAATGAACAACTCTTTTATCCGGCCAGAGTATCTACCTACATTATGCTATTGATGTGTGTGTGTGTATATATTTTATATATATATAATATATATAATGATTGTCAATATCAATATGGGAAGCAGAAAGAATGCAGTAGGTAGAAAATAAAATTTAAAACTCATGTAACCTTAAAGAATGATAATTAAATAAAAAGGAAACATTGGAAAAATATTTGTATCAAGTGGAAAATACAGTGTTTTCATTTCCCTATTATATAAAGACCTTACACAGTTTGATAAGAAAATCATTGTAGTAAATAAGTGGGCAAGGTCTGTGTTCACACAGGAAGATAGCGCAGTGTCAAAACTTGCTGATAATTGAGGAAATCAGATTATAACAGCTATGAAATACCATTTGCCATTTGCCCCATTAGCAAGATTTTTTAAAATTATGAAGCCTGGTGCTTTTAAATTCTAGTAAACTGTATTTAGGGTTTACTGTTGGCAATGGAAAATGATGTAAACTTTTGAAAAAGAAATGGATAAATATTAAGAGCTACAAAAATATTACTTTTTCATTTTTATTGTAGTTGAAGAGGGAAAAAGTAGCATCAATGAATGTGTTTATTGCATTAGGACTTAGAATGGTGAAAAATTGAAAGCAATGTAAATACTCTCAAATAGGGCAATGGTTTGGCAAATTAGGATTCATAATCTTAACAGGATAATCATTGTGATCATTATGAAGAATATGTAGCAACAAGAAACATTTATTTTGTATAAAATATGTATATACAGACAAACTGTACAGAAATGAGAATGAAAATAATAGTAATATAGTACCTTTGTAGATTATTTTTATTTCCTTAGCTATTTCCTTCAGTATTATGATGTAAATTATGTAATAAAATCAGAAGAAATCATTTCTTACCTACAGCTCTTATTTCTTTTAGGCTCACGCCTTGTTCTGATTGTGGGTTAGTGCTGATTTGTACTGCTCAATATAAGTGAGCTTCAGGTACCTTAAACAAGGAAAAGATATGCCTTCTTATATCTACATTCTTGTTATGAAAACTAAAAAGAAACATTTCTCTAAATATATATGTGCTATATGAATACATTCAATGTCTACCTGTAAATACGTGATCTACAGAGATCTTTGTTGAAAATAAGGAACAATTATTATCTGATTCATGATTTAGAGTCCTGTTACAAAATATACAACTGCAATTCTGTATACTTAGGAAATTTTTACAGACAGAAAGTGGTGACTAAAAGATATATCTCCTTTCAGATTACTTTGGTTAACTAATGTATCAACATGGTTCTAATAACTGTAAGCCCTTTCCCAGAGTTCAGTTTATTTTTCACCATTTTATGTGCATGATGTGTGTGTCTGTATGAACGTAGATGCACATGTGCACGTGTGCATGTGAACAAGATAAACTTGATTGGGTGACTTATGAAAATCAGTTCTATTTGTTTATAAGCACATTATTTTGTTAAATACATGATATAGGAAAATAAATTCTGGACCTTTCTTATCAGGCCCTAGTGAATCCACTAGTGTTCATTTGATTTAGGTAGATATTTAAGACAATCATATAAATTTCTATTGGTGCTCAGCTAAATTAGGCATATCTAAAGAGACTCTGTTTAACATCATGCCTAAGTTTAGTTATATGAATTCGTTTTGATAAATTGTGTGTGGCAGTAATTGAAAAAAACATTCATGACCTTCCTTTTTCAAAAACATAATTTTAGGAAAAGCCAAATATTTTCCACAGTGGCTGATGTGTGACTTTTTTCAGTCATAGATATTTCAACAAATATCTTTACTTAATATATTTATATTTCCATGTTTTGAATATATAATTCTTAAATTTGTTTTTGTATTTACTGCAGTTCTACTATTTAAAAATATTTATAATAATAAAAATTTCTGTAAGCTTCTTGACTGGCTGAAGTAGAGTTCCCCCATGCCAACTCCTATTTCCTTAGCAGGCTATTGAAACAGAGCACTTTTAGAGAAATGCACCTTGAATTGAAAATTTTAAGAATTTTACCCAGTCTTGAGAGAATAGATGTGAATATGTTTCTGCCAATTTTAATAATAAATTTGAGCAAATCTAGATATTTCCCCCACAATATTAGTTTAGTACACTGTTAAGGGACAAGTGAAAATTCCTACTTAGCCTTTATCTGACTGGCCTGTCTTTGATTTGACATGTATTACTAACTCAGGGCTTAAAACAAAGTAAAGCTTAGTAACGAACTCGTATGTTTCCCCAAAACTCAACAAATGTGTTAATTGCCCTCACTGTGTTATGTGTTCGAAGATGAAGGGTGGGTGGGAGGGAGGGAGGGAGAGAGAGAAAAATAAAAGAGAGAGAGAGAGAGAGACAATTGAGCGAGAGAGACAGAGAGACACCAGCTAGGCTGTTTGGATCTGAAACCTGGCTCCGCTACTTACTAGCTGCATGATCTCAGGCAAGTTTAACCTCTTTGGTAAAACTGGGGAAAATAAGAATTTCTTTACCACAAAGTTGTGCTGGGAAGATTGTGGCTTTTATGTTAGATTAGCAATGTCTAATCTCAATATTTGTTAACAAGC